CGTCATTTGATTAAAATCGGTTGTTTCCCCCGGACCTCCTCTCTTTTGCCTTCCATGGGCGGAACAGACAGGGAAAGCCACCAGCCTCAGCCATGAGGACAAGGACAGTCCTCCCAGAGCTGATGGAGCAACAAAATGGAAGGAACCTGGGTCCCCGTTCCTGCCGCCACCAGGTACTATTACATCATGTCAGACAGAAATAAACATTGTCTGACTGAGCCACTCTGTTCGGGGCCCTTTTGTCACAGCAGTGTAACTGGAAGCCGCTGATACAGGCAGGGTCGCCGAGTCCCATTCTCAGGGGTCCACTGAGTGTGGGAAGAACCGGTGTTGGGGCGGGGTGAGCAGAGGGGCACACCGGGGACCAGTGTGGGGGCCAGAGGATCGGCTGAAGGAGGAACTTTCTCCTGGCCAGAGCTGAGTGGAGTGGACGCCCTTCGATGGCGGTTGGGCTCCCTGTCAGCAGAAATGTGAGAGCAGAAGATGAACGATCGCTAGGCTGAGCCCCAGGGCGTTTCAAGTTTTAGGTGCCACCCAGACAGGTGCTAAGGGAAGGAAACGGTGCCCATGGCATCCAGGAAGAGGATAAGGACACGGCACAGCACCTTCTAGGTTACAAAGAATCCCCACCTTCCCCTGTGAAACGGCCGCCCCGCTCCAGGGAGGGCCACGGGATGAGTCCGTTTCAATGGAGCCCAATCCAGGGTGGGTGCCCCTGGGGAAGGGAGCTGAGGGACTAGAGGCTGGAGCCCCGACATGGCCGCGCTGCTGAGAGGGAGGTGGTGGGGGGACTAGCAGGTCAGCACTCCTGAGACAGCCTCCAACTCCTCTGGGACCCCAGCTGCTCCTTTCCTGACCTGCTAGGCCTCAGTTTCCCCGCCTGTAATACAGAGCGGAGGCCGTGTTTGCCTAGGCTCCTTTTCCTGAGGGGAACCCCCATCCCCCCATCTCCACCCCACCCTGTCCCTCACCAGCAGAAAAAGAGCCGCAGCCAGCTCTGAATTAGCCCTGCAGGCCAGCTGGTGAGAACAGGCTCCCCAGGGCTCCGTCACCCTCGGGGTGAACTGAGAAAATTGTTTCCGAAACTGCACGCTGCCAGCAGCTCTGGCTCCCAGGGGAGGAGAACCCAGCGGCTGCAGGGAAACGGGAGCCTGAGGCAGATGACGGCCGAGGGGGGTGCGGGAGGGGCGGTGAAAGTGGCCGGGAGCTGAGGGACAGGCGGCCCCTGTTGTCCAAGACCAGAGCTGTCTCCAGCAGAAAAGCCAGCCCATGGCTTCCAGAACCTGGAAGTGCATTCAGCCCTCAGTTACAAGCCAGGGACCCAGGTCCTTCAGCAGAGCCTCAGTTTCACCATCAGGAAAATGGGAGCAATGATCTGCCCAGAAGGGTCCCCCAGGAGCTAACTGTGAGGAACAAAAGGAAGAGTCTGGCCAGGACTCAGGAGACTTGGGGTTCAATCCTGCCCTGACCAGTAGGGGACCTCGGCACCTGCCATGTGGCCCTTCCCACACACCGAGCCTCTGGGAGCCTCGATTCCCTCGCCTGTGAAATGGGATGATACCCTTAGTGGCTCAGCCGCAGTGTGGATGGAAATACTCTGAAACCTTGCAATATGATGGGCTAAGGGGGCAGGGCTGAAATCACTACAGCGATGAGGGGGGAGGGGGGAGGAGAGGGACCCCCAGGCCATCCTCGGGGTCGGGGAAGGGACGAGGGTGTGGGCAGAGGCCCCGAGCCCATCTAGCCCTTGCTGGTGACAGACCGCTGGTGGCTGCTGGTCTACAAGCTCTGCCGCCTCTGATAACAGTTAGCTGGGCAGTGGCGGCCAGAGCTGACAGCCCCATTGCCACCCCCATGTCTCCGCACCCAATCTGCCTGCAATCAGCCCTGAATTATTTATTCTACTGTTTGTTTAAAGATACGTGGCCTGCCAGCGACAGCGTGAAAAATGTCCCTGCTCCACGGGAGTGACACCTCCCCACTCCTCCTGCTCACACGCCTGTCGGGCTGTGCCCGGAATTAATCACCCGGCTCCTGCCCGGCCGCATGGCCCCGTTGTCACCGAGCTGAGAGACAGGGGTCAAGGGGGGGCCTCTGGCCTCACTGCGAGGTGGGGTGAGTGGGCAGCTCTCATCCTTCCCTTGCAGGGAGCTGGAAGCAAGGTCTTCCCTTGCCCACCCTCCTTGTTGGGGGGATCGAGGGGAGTGACGGTCCCCGCCCCCTGGTGACCTGCTGAGTGGAGGCAGAGGTGTGATCAGAGCTCTCCGTGAAGCCTGCCTGCCCTCTGTGCCCCCTAGGATGTCACACACCGTGAGTGCCACCCTCCAGGCGGCTGAGCCCCACTCTCCCAGGAGCCCTGGAGCAGAGCCGGGAGGGAGGGGCCGGGGAATGAGGGGCAGGGAGCAGGCAGGGGTCCTCCTTGGACAGGAGGGCCAGGTGAGGGCTGCATTGGGTAGACACAGAAGGCCAGAGAGGGGGAGTTCTGAGGACACTCTGCCCTCCCCCCGCCCCACTCCACGTGGGGGCCCAAGAGCAATGAAAGCACCTCCCGCGCTGCAGGTGCAGGGACACTGGCCTCTGGGAGGAGCAGGACTGGCGAGAACCAGTCATTTGGTGGAGGTGGGTGGCGATCAAGCAGGGGTGCTTCAGAGCGGGGTACACTACTCCGCAGAGAATGGGGCCCCAGAGACAGGGAGGCCATATGAAGTGAGGGTCATGGGGCCGGCCAGCCACCACCTAGCTGTGTGACTTCAGGAAAGTTATTCACCCTCTCTGAGCCTCAGCTGGGATCAAACCTCCAGCCCTAACCAGGCCTCACAGGACTGCTGTGAAGTTCACAAGTGAAAAATCCTGCATGGATGTGGGGAGGGATGCGGGCCGGTGCTGAGAATGGAGGGACAACGCTCCACCCGGAGCCCAGGCAGGGCCTGTGAGAAGCGCTGCCCCAGCCCAGACACACGGGAGGGGAATCCGTTTCACCTGAGCTGTCCGCGTCCCTCCTGCTGCCCTCGACGCTGCCCCTCTGGCTCCCCGAGTGCCAACGGAGGGACAGAGTGCTCACTCCTGGTCCCACCAGGACCTGATGTCCCCCAAGACTTCAAGGGAGTAGGAGGCAGGAGGAGCGGCCACTTCACAGGGCGTCCAGGGAGGGGCCAAGGTCTGCGGTGGTGGGGTGACCACAGTGACCCCTCGACCCTCCTACCCTAAGCAAGGCCCATGGAGGCCCCGCCCCACAGTTAAGGCTGTCCCAGGAGACAGCGGGCAGCGGGGATAGTGGGAGGTCAGGGCCGGCTGCCACCTGCTGGCTTGTGACCTGGGTTGTCCCTCTCTCCTCCTCTGTATTACACAGATGACAAAATATCTGTCTTTCAAGATGGCTGTGGGGATGAACACTGGTACCTGATAGGTGTGGCACACAGGGTTCAGGAGATGGTCACCGCTGTTACTGGTCCCCCGGGGCCTAACCTGTCCCTCTGATACCCTGCCCTCTGGCCTTCTCCCCACCTTGTCTCCTCACACAGGGCTGGCAGCAGGGACCAGGGCAGCTGGCAAAGAGGGTGCCCTGCTCCCTCCCACACACATGCCTTACCAGCCTGAAGGACCTGTCCCACCAGCCCGGCCCTTGGGCCTGTTCCCAGGTGCTACGTTCTCTGCTGCCTTCCCTCCCCTGAACCCTCAAAGGACCCTCTGCAGCTGAGGTGCCCTGGACCACCCCCAGGGCACCTGCTCCCTGAGAACTTTGGCTCTGGAGGCCCCTGCCCCACCCACACCCCACTTACCCATCCATCAGGGCCCGTGTCCCGAGCCCCCATCTCTAGGGCCCTGCTAGGAGGTGGTGGGGCTGGTGCCAGGGCAATGGCCCCCTGGTTCCCAAAGGGCCAGGGATCAGGGGCCGTCTACACCACCTGACCCCCAAGAGATGAAGGTCACAGTGCAGAGAAATGGGGGCCTCACATCACAGTGCGTGAATCAGGCCCCCAATGGCCTCCCTGAGCCGTGGGGACGTGGGGGGGAGGGGGGCAGAGATCCCTGGAATGGCAAGGACAGGGTGGGCATGGGCTGGGGCCTGGGGGTCCTCTCGGCTCCCAGGACTGGCAGGCAGGGCGGAGGGTACTAACCTGCGGCCTGGGGTTCTCCCGGGCCCCCAACATGACCTGGCTTGGGGGGGGGCCTCCCCAGGAAGGGGGCGGGACCTGGGCAGGTCCAGAGGGAGTAGGGAGGGGCCAGGCACTCACCGGGGGCCTCGAGGTTCTCGCAGAGTTCAGACTTGGCCTCCCCGTTGGGCCGGAAGCTGCCCTTCTGCGTGAACTTGTTGGACATGGTGGCGGCGGTGACCACGGCTTTGAGGCTGCGCTTGCGCTTGGGCACGTTCTGCTCCGGGTGGAAGAGGATGATGTAGACCTTGGGCATGTAGAGCATCCCCAGGGACACCGAGGCGCTCAGGCTCACCGACACCGTCAGCGTGGTCGTCTGGATGTACAGCTGGGGCGGGCGGGGAGGCGTCAGCGCGGCTCGCCCCGACCTCGAGGCCTGACCCCCGCCCTCTCCAGTGGCAGACGCAGCGGGGACAGACTGGATCGGAGGGAGCATGGAGGAGGGCCGGACTTCAGACCAGAAGCCCTGGATTCAAGTCCTGACCACGTCCGTCCTCCTGCCCCGTGTCCTCACGTGAAATGCAGGCCTGGTGATTACAGTCCTGCACTCACCTGGCAGGGCTGTGAGGACAGACGGGGCCTCGGTAACAGCATGCAGGACAATGCCCAGCCGGAGCTGGGGGAAGTGTCCCCACTGATGTGCGCTGTTTGGAGGGGCCAGCCTGAGGAGGGGCCGCCCGCCGTCGGGACCACAGCTGACCCTCCTCAGGAGGGTGTCCCAGCCCCTCAGCCAGGCCCCCCATTCAGCAGCTGCCCGCACGGGAACCCTGTGCAGAGCAGCCACTGGCACGGGAGCCGCAGCGCCCAGCGCAACGCGCAGGGCAGCACAGTCGAAGCTCATTTCACGCTCGCTCACCAGCACTAACAGTGACAGATGTTTGGCGAAATGAAAGCCCATTAATTTGGGTGCCAGGTAGTCCATTCTTCACTAGTGGGGCCTTCCAGGCAGGCCTGAGACTCCCACCGCCCCCAGCTGCGATCCCCTCCCCTCCTGCTCCCTCCGGGTCCCCCAGGCCCAGCTGCCCCTCTGGCTGCCCTCGGTCAGGGGACGCCCCGGCTGTGGCCCCCAGATCTGGCCTGGGAGTCCTGCTCCCTAAATCTGCTGTTTCTGGGCCTGGGCTCCTCCCTCACCTGGGGCCTGGCTGACATGCCATCTCTTCTAGGAACCTTTCCCTGGCCCCAGCTCTACCCAATCCCCTGACACCCTTCATTCCTTGTACCTAACCCAGCAGTGGGCATCACGGGTCTGGGTTTGCTTCCTGCGGTCCCCAGAGCCCTGACCTCATCCAGGAGCCCTGGGGGCACGTCTTTCTGTTCTCATGTCCTCACCATCTCCTGCCTGGCTCCATAAACACCTCGAGCCCTGAATCTAAAGGCCTTCCTTCCAGCCCTTCCCCCAGAGGAGAGAGCTGAGTGACCCTGGGAAGCCTCGTCCCTCTCTGGCCCTCAGTTTTCTCATCAGTGCAATGGGGTGAAAGCGCCTGCCTCACCCGAACCACAAGGCTCCTCCCCAAGCGCAGCTGTGAAGCCGCATGAAACCTGCAGCACGTGGACGGAGGCTGCCCCATGGCCCACCGGTCCCCGGGAGCACACACCCTGCAGACAGCCCGCCCTTCCTGTCCTCACATGCAACCCACACTCTCAGCCACGCACAGAGCTGTCTCCCAGCGTGGGGGCAGGGAGGTCGTGACAGGCCAGTGGGAGGGGCCTCGTGGCCGGGGAGGAAGGGGGACAGGCTCCAGAGACTCACCAGAGCTCCCTGGAGGAACAGTGGAGGTTCGGGAGTCAAGAACAGGCCTGTCTTCCCCACTGGACTGGGGGTGCCCTGGGGACGGGGTGCCCTGGGGACGGGGTGTGTCTCTCTCATTACATGGGGGTTCCCTGAGGGAGGAGCTGTCTCTCCTTTCACACTGGGGGGTCTTGGGAACAGGAATGGGTTCTAGGTCAGACACCCATCTTGGGCCCTTTGCCCCCACCTTGTTATGGGGGTACAGTGGGCCCATATGGAGTTGGTGGCCAGGGTAGAGGCCCCCTCTCTGGGCAGAGTGAGCCCTGCAGTGGACAGACCTGTGGTGGGGCCAGGGGTCTAGGCCCCAGATCCCATCCTGCCCTGCCCCAGTGTGGCTGCTGAGCCCCCTGACACGAGCGGAGTCGGGAGCATGGCAGGTGGCCTGGGCAGCCACACCAGCACCGGTGCTTGGCTTAATGCCTGCAGCCCCCATCTTGAATCCTAATAAGTTTTGAACAAGGGCCCCTCGTTCTCATTTTGCTCTGGGCCCTGGAAACTGGAGCCAGCCCTGAGCTCAGTGCAGCTTCCCAGCCCCGGAGCCTTTCTGCAAACAAAATACAAGGAGGAGTGTGAAGCAAGCAAAGGACGCCCATCTGCTGCCTGGCCTTCCCAGCCTGGGCCCTGGGGGCTCCTCTCGCCATCCCAGGCTGGGGTGGCTGCTGTGTGCACAGCACAAGTGGGGCCGGGCACCCCCAGGCCCCTCCTTGCCCCAGGGTCTGGGATTCCCACCCCGCACAGCTCTGGCACTGCTCTGAGCCCTGTGTGAGGGCGCACGCTGTCACCTGGAGAGTCGCACGTTGACCCCAGCAGAGAAGCAGTGGTCTCTACAGCCTCTAGAACCAGCGGGCACTCCCACGGAGACGGGCCTGGCACAGAGGCAGGTCTTAAAGCCAGGCAGAGTGAGAGGCCCGTCTCTCCCTTCCACACATGTCCCAGCCCGAGGGTCTGAGCGGCCCCATTCCCCCTCCCCCTTGGCCAGGCCCTCGCTCCGCTCGCTCATCCTCTCAGGAAGCAGGAATCCCACACGAAGCCTCCTGAGTCAGTGCCCTCCCGCGAGGGGAGGAGGCTTTCAGGGCTGGGGCTGGTGGGGGAGGGCGGAGTCACCTTGGGGTGGGCAAAGGGCACAGAGAGGAGTTACTTGGCTGTGGGCGGTGGATTTCCTGTTTTGTATGAGGGCTGGTGGGTACAGCATGTGAGGGGCCTGGTGGGGGGCACTGAGGAGTTCTGCCTGCTCTGCACTTCTGCCCAGGCTGACCCTGTGGCCACTGGGACCCTCAGCACCTGTTCACCGGACGAACTTCTCCACATCCTGGCCGCCTCCGGCCGTGTCCTGGCCAGGCCTGGCTGAGCAGTAACCCCACAGGCACAGAAGCTCTGCTCGGCTCGGTAATGCGGCCGGCTGCGGGGTAAGCCCTGGAAATCCGGGCTAATGCTGGGGAATCCAGCCGCCGGCTCACCAGAGCGGCACAGCGCGGCTCCACGCCACCAGCACCCACTCCCACACCTGCACCCTGGGCGAGCAGGTGCTGCAGAGCACCTGCAAGTTGGTTTGCACAGCTGCATGCCCCCAAACACACACACCTGTGCGCTCCTGTGTCTCTGCATTCACACACACCTGAGCTCACAACCACACACTCCCTGACTCAGACACACCTGGGTCACACACACGCACCCTTCAGGTACCTGGTGCACAGTCGGTGTGCACATACACAAAGATGCATTCACACATCTGCACACACACCTGACCACACACGTCACCTGCACACTCCACTTACCCTCACACATTTGCACACAATCTGCCCACCCACGTACACACACCAGCAGCAATGAACCCCTGGCGCACACACTGCCTCTCCCACTCCCTATGCATGCACATGGCAGCCAGGCCTGCAGTTCCCAGGGGCGTTTTGTAGCTGCCACCTGACAGCGCATAGGCGGCCCCAGGGTGTCTGCGCTCTCAGAAGCCTGGTGGTCTGAACCCACAGGACTGGGGAGCTCATCTCCTCACCCCTCCTCATGCAGAAGCCCAGGGGAGGGCCGCAGCCCAGGCCCCACGCCATCAGGGGCCGAGCTGGGGGCTGTGGGCACACACTGTGGGAAGCCAGCCTGCTGGGTGACCTGGGGCAAGGCCCCCTCCCCTCTGGGCCTCCGAACAGACCCTCTCAGAGGCTCCTTTTCATAATCAGTGCTGAGGGGAGCCTCCGAAAAAGGGAGAGGCGGGGGCGCTGGGGGGAGGAGGTCACCGGAGAGATGGTGGTATTATCAAGGTAATTCCTCAGGCTGCCAGCTTCCTGGAGTGTGGGGCGCCACCCCACCACCCCAACCCCGCTGGCTTTGTGGGGCTTCCTAGTGCTGCAGGGCGTGGGCCACCGCCTGCACCTGCCCTCAGCACGAAGGGCCTCCCGCAGGCCTGGTGGGAGCTGGAGACCTGGCTCTCAGCACGAGTGAGGCCTGGTGGCTGCGCCGGCTCTGGAGCACCTGGCACCAGGCCTGGTCTCAGACCTCGGGGCCCTCACTACCAGCCCCAAGGTCTGCTACTTGGAACCCCAGCCCGTGGGCCACCCCTGGAAGACAGGCCACAGGCTTCCCTGGGCCTGGCCCCGGCATCGGAGTGGAGCTGTTGGAGAAGAGGATGCCCTAGGCAGAGAAGGTTCCCAGAGCTGCAGGGGCCATGGCAGGCTGGGGACTCCTGAGTTAGAGTAGGGTCATGTCCAGCTGTGCCACCCCTGGCTGTGTGACCTTGGACAAGTCACTCTGCCTCTCTGTGCCTCCATGTCCTCGTGTATGAATGGGGTGGGGATATCTACCCTCACCTGCGGTTGTGGGGTGAGCCAATCAGTAGGTAAGGCACCTGGCAGATGACAAGCACCCGCCTGCCAGGCCTTTGGCAGCAGCCGCACTGAAGCCACGCCCTCCCCGGGCTGACACCAGGCTCACAGCCCTAATGCCATCCACGGGCTGACGACCCCCCAGTCACTCCGGCCTGGCCCTTGTCCCTGAGCTCCAGGCTCATCTATCCAGCCGTTGGACATCAAACGGGCACCCCAACCAACACGTCCAAAGGACCCCAATGTCTGTCCACATGCCGCGTAGCCCCGGTCGGGATTCTTCCATAACCTCCTCCTGGGAGCCCTAATCCCGGCTCCCCTCCTCCGGGCCCCACCCAGCAGCCAGCGGGATCCTTTTAACCCTACGCAGCAACACCTCCCTCCCACTCACACCCCACAGCAGCTCCCCTCTCACTCACAGCAAAAGCCAACAGCCTTCCCACTGGGTCCCATGCCATCCGCCCTATGCCCCCCACCCTCCTCAGTCCCAGACCCGCACAGCGGGTCACTGCGTCTGCGCCATCACGCCGTGTGGTTGTTATAACGCCTGTAGGGTGAGGAGAAGGATCACACCCTAATGCACGGATAAAGAAACTGAGGCAGGGGCCAGCCGACTTGCCTAGGACCCCACAGTTAGACACAGAGCTCCGACCAGGAGCTGGGGTCTGGGGTCCCCAAGATCTTCCATGTCTCTGGCCTCTGACTCACTGGCACCCAATTCTTCAGGATAACCACCCAGTGCTGTGCTGGGTCGTGGGCAGAGTCCATGGGGCCTTGGGTGGGTCCAGGGGGTGGGTCCAGGATGGCCTACAGAGCCAGCAGGAGGCTCAGGAGGGAAAGGCCCCCGGCTGACACTGCCAGGCCAGCTCCTGGGCAGGGCGGCTTGGGGCTGGGAGAGGGGAAAGGTGCCTGACCCACCTCCCACCTCAGGGACCCAGGGGATCCTATGAGGGCAGGGACAGTGTGGGTGGAGGAGGAAGGAGAGAGGGATGGACAGAAAGGACGGTGGGCTGAGTGGAGAGGGAGGTGATGGACCGTCTAGAAAAGAATGAAGAATGAAAGACGGTGCAGCCCTCCAGGCTGAGAGAGGAGAGAGAGGAAGAGGAGAGAAACGAGGAAAGGCGGGGAGAGAAAGAGAGGAGGCGGGAGAGGAGAAAAGAGAAAAGGAGGGAGGAGGGAGAGCCCAGGACCTGGAGGAAAAACTCACAATGAGGAGAGAAGACAGGGCAAAGCGTGAAAAAAGCACTTCCAGGCGGGTGGAGGCTGCCCCTACTCGGCCCCCACCCCACCCCCGCTCCATCCCCACTCACCTTGTCCGCCGACTGCGAGGTGCCAAAGAAGATGGGGATGAAGGCCAGCCAGACGATGCAGGTGGTGTACATGGTGAAGCCGATGGGCTTGGCCTCGTTGAAGGTCTCGGGCACGCCGCGCGTCTTGATGGCGTACACCGTGCAGGTGACCATGAGCAGCATGCTGTAGCCCAGCAGGCAGATGAGCGACAGGTCCGAGATGTCGCACTTGAGCACCCCCCGGGCGAAGCGGGGGTCCAGCGTCCGCTGGTCCTGGAAGTCCACCACCGAGTGGGAGGGGTCCACCACGAACCACACGCAGATGCCCAGCAGCTGCAGGGAGATGAGGCTGAAGGTGATGGCCAGCTGCGAGGCGGGGCTGATGAACCGCGGGGCGCTGACCGACCGCTTGCCTTGCTCGAAGATGCGGTAGATGCGGTTGGTCTTGGTGAGCAGGGCGGCGTAGCTGATGCTCATGCCAAGCCCCAGGAAGATGCGGCGCAGCGAGCAGGTGCCCAGGTCGGGCTCCGCGATCATGAGGAAGGTGGTGGCGTAGCACAGGAAGATGCCCGCCAGCAGCACGTAGCTCAGCTCGCGGCCCGAGGCCTTGACGATGGGTGTGTCGTTGTAGCGCATGAAGGTGACCACCACGAAGAGCGTGGCCGCGATGCCCACGATGGCCAGGAAGAGGGGCAGCACGGCCCAGGGCGAGGCCCACTCCAGCTTGATGATGGGGATGGGCCGGCAGCCCGTGCGGTTCTCGGTGGGCCGCATGTCGTAGGGGCACGTCTTGCAGGTGTAGCGATCCACCTGGTACTGGTACCCAGTGCAGGGCTCGCAGTGCCAGCAGCAGGGCATGCCCTTCACTGTCTTCTTCCGCTCCCCCGGCTGGCAGGGCAGGCTGCAGATGGAGCGGGGCAGCTGCTGCCCACTCCCCGGCCACAGCATCCGCTCCATCTGGCAACGACAGCGCGGAGGATGGGCCTCAGGATGTGCCCCAGTGCCCCGGACCACCCCACGGCTGGCACCCTGCAGCCCCACACCTGAATCACCCACTTAGTTGGCTACAAATCCAGTTGCCTGGGCCCCGTTGAAACCAACAGCTGGATTTAAACAAGCTCTCCCTGATTCAGACACACTGGCTTATGACAAATCCTGATGAGTCCAAAACTCCAGGGTTGTAGGGGGACAGCAGAGAGCAGCCTAGAGCAAGTATGTCAAACTCGCAGCCCATGGGCCACATGTGGCCCCCAACAAATATTTTTGCAGCCCAGCCAATATAACAGTATGTAAGAAACATTTTAATAAAAATCCCATAACTTAATTTTTACAATATCCTGTTATGCATAACTAGAGGCCCAGTGCATGAAATTCGTGCACAGATAGGGTCCCTAGGTCTGGTCAGCAGCCCGGATCAGGGTTTTCCAGCTGCCAGCTGGGGCCTTCCTTTGTTCTGTGCCGCCCCCTGGTGGTTAGCGCACATCATAGCAAGCAGTTGAACTCCCCTTCAGTCCAAGATGAACTCCCAAGGGGACAATTTGCATATTAGCCTTTTATTATATAGGATTATTAATAAGTACAACATTCACTGATTACTGATTACTATAATCATGTTGCATTCATTTACGCTTCCTCACTCCCCGAGACACCCTCGGGGGCGGCTCACCATTAACCCCATTTCTCAGATGAGAAAGCAAAGGCCCAGAGAGGCCTCCGAGCGTGGCTCGGGCTCACAGTGAAGGAGACCCTCTTCTGAATCCTGCTGACGGCCAGCCCAGACCCCCCTGGGGCGCCCCGAGGCGGCCCTCTCCCCTTCACCAGCCCAGGTGGGAGATGTTGGCGAGTCCTGACCTGAGGACTGAGTCTGGACAGAGCCCCCATGGACTGACCAAGGCCTTGTCCCCGCCTGCCTCTCCCAGGCCAACAGGTGACTCCAGAAAGCCCCTCGCCCTGGGCAGGCAAGGCCAGTTACCCGTCTGGCCCCATGTCCAGTCTCACCCATCTCCGCCCCGAGCCACATCTGATGACCTATAATCAGGGTGACCACCCAATTCTCCATCCCCACTCGGGCACTTGTGAGAATAAATTGGGATGCTCTCATGCTTACACACACACACACACACACACACATCTTACACACCATTTCTCTCCACTAACACTAGCAGTGAATATTTTAGCAGCTGATGGCCACGTCATTAGTCTTGGACTGACTTGTTTGGTGTCCATGACAGGAAATATTTCACTTTCAGAGAACTAGGAAAATAGGTTTATTTGCGTTGCGCTTATTAATTTGTGCAGTTATTCAGTGTCTGGTAAGTAAATGTTCAAGAAAAAGAATATTAATTTTTATTAAAATGTTCTATTATTTTATGTTAACGATGAATTATTTATTTCAGACCTTTGTATTCAGCATGTCCCTATCGAAATAAACCTACGTTTCTAAGAAAATCAAAGCTTTTCGTTTTTTTCGGCCACATAAGCTTACACCCCGTTTATTTGGCCTGTGTTAGCCTGTGAGTTTGACATGCTTGGCCTAGAGGCACAGGGCAGAGCAGAGCACGCTCACGAGGCCTCGCTGCTCAGCCACGGCCCCCAGACCAGCAGCAGCAGCTTCCCCCAGGAGCCTGCTGGGAAAGCAAAACCTTTGGTCCACCCCAGACCCACGGACTCAGAGTCTGAGTTTCCAGGAGACCCCAGGAGATCGGTGCACACAGGCGGGGAAGAGCGCAGCTGATGGCTCGGCCCACGGGCCTCCTCCGGCGCCACATGGAGCTGGGACCAGCGGAGAGCAACGAACAAAGGTTTCCTCACAGGACAGCCACTGTGTGCCCAGGGTCAGTGTTCACATCTTGCTCTAAACTAGTGCTAGTCACCATCCCACGTCTCCAAAGGCAGTCACAGTGAGCGAGCCACGGGAGTGTGGGCCCCGCTCTGAGTGTGACAGCATTCTGGAAAGTGAGAGGCCCTGGGAGCTCGAGGCGCTGGGCAAAGGGAGCTGACCACTTGGGAGCCGGACTCACAGCGTCTGCTCTACAGGAAGTGACCCTAAGGAAGAGCCGATGCTTAGAGGGCAGCGGGCCTGCCCGCACCGGGCCACGCGGGTGCTGGGTGCTTACTCCTGGAGAACCAGCTGGCCCCGGAGGAGGGGCGGGTTT